TGGCTGTGACGCATCTGTTCTGGAGTCCTCATTTCTGGTCCCAGGCCATTTGACCCATGAAAGTCAAGATGATATAGATTACACGATACAGGAGGGCGGTAATACCTTGCCTCTTTAACCTCAGTGAAATCTGTTCTTACCCTTTGATTTGTCTAGTAAAATCGCAATCTTACGGCAGAGCAGAAGGCCTAATATGATGATAGTCAAATGCTCAGGTCCGTGCAGCTGGGGTTAAGTCTACTGTGAGCTTTAGACAGAATGTCTTGGAAAAATGACCCTCTTACACCCTGTCATCTTAAGAGCTCCTTCTCCCCTGGTGTGTATGCTGGCTAATGCCCACTCCACTGATGGAGTACTAAGCCAGGGCTACGTCAGGTTTTGCTGCTGCGTTGTCGACTTGACCGCTTTTGCTAACAAGATAGTTCAAGCTGAGGGGCATGATGGGGCAATCAGGAGCTGAGGTTCATTCTCTGCTCTCAGAACCTGGGTGCTGAACAGGAAGCAAACGATACGCAGGTCAGGCTGTCAGAAAGTTGTGATTGGGGTGTGTGTGTGTTTGGGTTTTTTTTGGCCAGAAGTTGTGGCCTGTTTGTTAAAGTTGCAGTTTGGTGCAAGTACATGGCTGTGGGGGAGGTTCATGCAGGAACTCAGCTCTCTCTTGTTTTATAACTTACTAGATGTTGAGATGGCAGCAGGGTCCTTTACCTCCAACGAGGGCTGGATTTACCCCTCCACCCCCCATTTCTCCAATCCCTAGGGTAGGGGAGCATAGGAGGTGGGGCTCAAGTCCCTGTACCCTAGAGCCAGACCCAGCCCAGACACCCCTGAAGATGCTGGGGGAGGGGGGGCTAGCACTGCTGGGGCTCCCCTGTCTCAGTACTGTGGCCTGCTGGAGGCACAAACCCAGGCCCCAGTCACTGGGGCCTCCCTGAACCTGGTCCCTGGCACAGCTGGGCAGCCACGGCAGGCAAAGTCCTCAAGGTCTCACAAGAGGTCGCTGCTGTCGTGATGGAGGGGCGGCTAGGCCAAATTTGAGTGAGTAGCATTGTGAAAAAGTTGCAGACAGTGTTGAAAGTTGCGCTTCTGCAACAGAATTGTGGCCCTTGATTTTCTTTCAGCCTTTTACTATAGGGCCGGTTCCTGGCGGAGGGGTGGAGAACAGGCCTGGCCACAGACTTCCCCTACTCACATTGTTTTCCTCCCATTTTTGAGTTTTCCAACCAAATCTAGTCTCAGACCTAAGCTCTTTCTCTCTACCAAACTCCAGAAAGGACCAGATGTGCTGGTGGTCCAATGCTGTTTGGCTGGATAGGATTGTTAAGAAAGCCTTGATCTACATTACCTCTGTGAAGGGTATGAGTCTTAGAAGTGTCGCTAGAAGTTCTCTTAGCATGATGACTTGTTTATGTTTCCGGTTGTGTGGGGAAAGTTGTGAGCATGTACAAATTCTATCATGGAGTATATCTGGGACCAGGATTTTACAGTGGTGGAGTGTTCTTCTGAAATGACTGTTCTATAAATAGCCTCTCTTTTTGGTAGATTAAAAACAAGACTTTAATGTTTGTAGTTATATCTATTGGAGTGGGATTCAGTTTTAAATGAGAGCCTCAGCAATCCCATTCTCCGCATGATGGTCCATTAACTTTTACTGGTCCAGGGGCCCATTATTCCCTGATAAGGTTGGCAGCTGCTTCCAAAAAGCTGAGGAGACCCACAGGAAATTTTCCATGCTGCTAGGTGCAAGGGAGTCTCTGGGGGCAGACGTGGGGATGGAACATCTGGGTCTTTTACCAGTTTGTCTGGTTGAGGGACTAAATAGGAGTTGATATCAATATTTTCATTAACAGAGGACATCAGACTTTGGTTGGCCCACATTAGTTGCTATTGTAGTTTTTTGCCATGTTACTTGGCTCACTGCCTCTAAAGAAAGGGAGGGCAAGACTGAAGAAAAACATCCATCGCTAGCTTCTGAGTCACGAGGAGTGTTTTTATTAATGTTATGTAAGTCATGGTACAGTCCCAATTTATATAACTATAGCTCCTGAAGGCCTGGTGAAATACACTTTTGTACACATCTCTCCACAAACGCTTAGCATTGTCTCTATTTACATGCCTTTAATTTTTCGAGACTGTAAATCTGCTACATACCACAAGAGGTCAGCATGTGATAAAGGTTTGCCCAGATAAACGAACTGCCTGATTTTCACAAAGGCCAAGCACCTGCCGCTCCCATTGATATCAGTGGGTTGGTGGGTGCTCACACCTGTAAAAATCAAGCCATGTGTACATAGCACTGATACATCACAAATACCTGCAAACTATGACTCATTTGGACCCCCCCACTCAGAAGTTCATAGTTTTTGTTGTTGTTTTTGTTTTCTTCTCACATTTTCTGGCATTTTGCCATCTTTAAAATACCACATTTAGAGGCCAAAGTCATTTTAAAACGAAAATAAACATGATGGTGTTCGGTGCACTTTGGAACAAAGCTGCAAAGCTCTATGACTGGGAACACAAGGCATATATCGATTTTAACAGAGAAAATGTGGTTTACATCTTTGTGAATGAATCATAGGCAGTAACATTCAGTGGATTAATGCTCTGGATCTTCAGAGTCATGCTATAGATTTTATTGATCTACATTTTCCTATATCCCTAAAACACATTACACGCTGGCCAAGTTCAGCACGGCTGAGTCTCAGTCAGAACAGACTACTGCAGCAGGGTAACTATAGTACAGGACTGAGCTAGGAGGCTACTAAGCAGGATAGGGCTGACATGTAGAGATATAAGGGAAACTTGCACAGTACCTGTCCACTGTTATAATTAATACGTTTAAAGTCTTTCTGTCAGTTCCCTCCCCAGGAAATATAAAGAAAACCTTCCATGTATCACTAACAGTATCAGGATGAGGAATGATATGAAACTTCAGGAAGGTGCAAATGCTTTCTCTGTCATTCATCTCTAGAGCTTGATTTTAAAATGGTAGCAGAATGTTTTCCTGTTTGACTACATTTTTTTTGCATTGCTACAAATCTTCAAACCAACACTGCAATTTTATAACCACAAGGATTTTAATTTGGTTCCAAACTATCCAGACTGAGCATTGCTCGAAATCTTGGCAGATGGTTGTCAAAGTTAATGAACTGGAAAAAATCCAAACAACCCTATCCAAGTTAGGGGCTTCAAAATAATGTTATTATTAAGTAAAATTATTTCACATATCTTGTGACTTGCAGGGCAGCAGGTTTCTACTGTGAAATTTACTGGAAAATAGGATTGTATTACAGTAACTTTGTAGCATTGATCTTGGAGAGCAGACGATGAATACACAGCTTTAGAATGTATTGCTAACTCATTATATTCACTGACCTTTACCTGGTTGACTGTCATAGATGTGTTTCATAGGCCTTGGTACTGCTAGATGTAGTGGAGTTCTCCTTTGGCATAAGTGGTGAGTCCAAAGCTATTTTCCTTTTTGCGAGCAGAAGGACCCGAGTGCTATCCTAGGTGATGCTATACATTATCCAGATGACCATAGTGACAAAAGTGCCATGTAGCTAGAGAAGTGTCATCCCTTGAGTTTATCCACTAAATGGAGCATAAAGTCTCAGGGCTGAATCCTGGCTCTCTCTTGATGAGAGAACATAAAAGTGTACCCACAAAGCATAAAGCTAGGAAGAATTAAAGCCCCCAGCTTCACGACAGAGGCTGATCTAACCACTGAAGTACAATTTCACCCAGTGAACATGATGCACAATCTTGATACACTTTTAAATACTGTATGTTAAGATTATTTTATTGTCGTTGAATTTAATTGGAAACATTTGCTTTAGAGCATTTGCAGTCCAAGATATATTATTTCAAATCATTTCTCCCTCATTGTACAGCTGCTGTACCTCACCCCTGCTCTGGAGGAACTAGCTCTAGGAATGATGAGGTAGTTTGCCCTTCATGCCATTCAGTCCTGGACTTCTCCACTGAGACTGCCAGCTACAGGACCATATGGGTGTGGATAACTGTCCTGCAGGAGTGGGATTTTTCCTCTAAGGTAGATCACCAAATAGCCATCTTTCACTGATAGTAATCGCTGACCGCTCCTGGTTTCAAAATAAATATTTGAGGAGCAAAACAGCACTTATAAGGATGGGAGCTATTTGGAAAATGAAAAGAAATCTTGTCAGATGCATGTTAGTGGAAGCCAGCAATGTATTGGATGGTTGTAGGGATGGGAACAGTGGGTCTTCCTCATCTAAACCTTTCTGGAGTTTGGTTCCGAGAAAGGGCTGAGGTTTGAGGCAATCTGGGTGGAAAACTGTCAAAACGGAAGGGAAAAAAAATGTGAGTAGGGGAAATCTGTGGCCTGGCTGCCAGCCCACACTTTATCCTGGGATTGAGTTCTCAGCAAGGTATTTCAATGACTGTGTTCAGGTTAGTTTTCGTGTTTCTTAGGCTACACATTCACAACCGTGGTTCAAAAGGGGAATCTAATGCTGCTGCTTCTACGTATATATTTTATGGATCATCACTAGGTACCCCTGCCGGAATGCACCTCAGATCTCTTCTGGTGTATGGCAATCCTGGTTCTTGGCAAAGCTAAGGAAGCTGCTCCTTTAACTTATGAGGTTAAATGGTGCATTTTGGGAGCTTTCATTGGAACACAGGCGCTGTGAGGCCTGTTCAAGTGTACAGCAGCTAACATGCTGAGACGAGGGAGCCGTGCTTCAGCTCAGCAGGTAGAGGTCAATATTTTTGAGGGCACGAATCTGAAATGGGAGAACAGAGGAAGAGGTAAAGTGACTTCTCTGAGCCAAAACTAAAACTCTGGGTCCAAATTTCCAGTCCCAAGGTAGACCAGGAGATCACCTGTAAATATTTGACTTATGACCAGGCTGATGATGAGCCCAGTCCCACTTCTGGTGACTGGTTTGGGCTCAGTATGCTTACAGTCATGTGCTGTAAAAGAATTAAACTTTGCACAAATAAACAACCTACAAGTAGAAGTTATACACAAAGCCTTTTTATTACATGAAATAGTTGAACATACTCCATAGTAGTTAATCAATTACAAGTGCATTTATTTAATATTTTGTGGACATCGTAACAGTCTGAATATTTTGGCTGGATGGCCAGCATTCTGACTGAATTTAAACCAGTGCAAATCATGGCATAACCATAAACAGTAAATTACAGGTCTACAATGATGTTAGACTAGCTAAGCAAGAGCATATTTATTGACACATCGAAGCATCACAAAGTATGAGAGCCCAAATGTTAGAAAACGATCACTAAAATGGTATTTGTACAAATTCCTTATTATATCTAACTGTCATGATCCTTTCTTGGATCCTGGTATATTGGCCATGCATGAGATCTTTCTCTAGTTTCAGGGAAGCCATTTAAATGTTTGAAACTGTAATGGGCAACAAAAAAAATGTAAACATTTAATGGTCCTTTGAAAGCCCAATGAGAGAGAGTACACTGTGCCACGGGAAAAGTGCATTTTAACTGGTGTGCCCATTATGGCCAATTTTAATTTTACATTTTCAATCAGAAATTAATGTCCTGATACACATAGCAACAGTTATTTATCCATTTCTGGTGCAAAAAATTAGAAAACTTTTTTCATCTAACTCATAAAAGATAAAACAAGTAGAATAAAAAAAGAGTTGTCTTTCCTTAGAGGAACAGCAATAAAAAACACCCAACATTTAAACACATTACCTTTTCTATAGCTAGCTAGATATATACACAATATACCAATAGCGAGCAAAACGCAGAGCTGATAAAGAGTCCTTTTTTCCCTCCAGGTTTATGTACCTGAACATTATGAGATTATTTACAGTCGGATAGATATCCACAGAAGTAGTAATCAGAATACTTGTATTTGGCTAAAAGTTGTAATATAAAAAAGACAGACAATTTATTTTTCAAATACTTCCCAAATATATATTAAAAGTTTCCAATATTTCCATTAGCGCCAGAGTTGGAAGCTCTTTTTTCTCATATTTAAAAAGTGAATTTTGTGATATTAACTGATGACAGAGGGCCTGAGCTGCTCCCACTGCAATCATTGGAAGGGCTCACGTTGACTGCAGTGGGCCCTGGGTCAGACCCAAAGGGCAATCAAAGATTGCAGAGAAATGTAATAGTGCCTTTTTAGTTTTGCCATAGGCCCTGCTCTGGCAGTGATATGTTTAGTTAGACCTTGGGTCTCCACAGATCCCCTTTGACTGCATCGAGGGTCTATGCAGATGGATTTATGTGCCCTTGCTGGGGATAGATCGTCAGCTGGTACAAATGGTCATACTTCCAATAGCTATGACAGTTTATACCATCTGAAGATGTTGGCCCACATCCTTACTGAAATCAATGGACTCAGTGTTGGCACAGGGCCAGCATGCATCACGCTGCAGGATCAGGGCCACAGTAGTGCTAAGAAGAATGATTTTCATATTGGAGACCAGACATAAGCTTTGCTAAAAAACAAAACTATAGTGGCTAATGTTACAAAAAAGCTTTAGAAGGGATGGGAATATTACACATACAACACAGGAACATAGGAAATATGGATGTAACTTGAAAAATATGTTTTCATGCTACCTTTATAAAAACTACAACATTTGTAAGTGAGCTGATCCATAAAATAAAAACATTTCTGTATGTTGTTTTTGAAATTGTAACTGAATACCCCCTAGAAGCACATACTTTTCTGAATAAATAAAAAAAATATCGCCACTGCTGTCTTTATATTGGTATCCTGTGTTTGAATAGATTGTGTATAAGCAAAAACCATCTTAGACTTGTAGTCCAGGGTTACTGTACTGTACTTTTAAAGCGACAATGTTCTTAGCACATCTGATTCTTACAAGGATAAAAGCATTCACCAGAATGGTTTGACATGTATTACAGAAGAAGCAACTGCCTGTAGTTTAACGTCCTATGTAATACCATGTCTTCCTGCCATCTTCTAATCATTTCTCCAGTGAAGCATGCATTGAAAACAATAGGGCCTGATCCTTCATTCCTTGGACTCTCAAAACTCCCTTTGAAGTCAAGGGGAATTCAGGGTGTGTTAAGAATGCAGGCTGGGGCCCTCATGAGCAAGATGATATCTAGACACTTTTTTTGGCTTTGAATCAATACAAAATACAATAAATGACTGTATGAAAATGCATAGTTTGTAGTTGCATACATTCATTCACTAAGATCAAAGGAAGCTTCTTCTGCTAGGCAAGTTCATCATCACCGGTTTGCAACAGAACTGCATTTTGACAAACTTGCATGAGATCAGTAACCAACATATATCTTGCAAATTAATGGTCACTGAACAGTGTTATTAAAGAGTTGGCTACTTTTTTCTCCTAACTGTCTCTGTGAGATACTTTAAGCATTTTATCACCTTGTAGGCTACTAGATAAACTAGAACACCGGTTCTTAAACTTTTTAGTAACCTGAAGACCTCCATTTTGATTTTAAAATTTTTCGGGGACCCACAAACCTCTCGCTCAGCCCCAGGCCCTGCCCCGATTCCATCCCTGCCGCCCCTGCTCCACCCCTGCCCTCCAATTCCCCCCTCCCCGAGCACACCCTGTCCCTGCTCCTGCTCCTCCCCCTCCCTCTAGCACCTCCTGCATGCTGCTGAACAGCAGTTTCCCCGGCATGCTGGAGGCACTGGGAGGGAGGGGGAGGAGTTGATCAGCGGGGCTGTGGACCCCCTAGAGTGAACTCCAGTTTGTGAGATGCTGAACTAGAACATACAATCTCCAAACCCATTATAGCGGAGTCTTGCTGAACTTCAGGTATACCAGCATGTACGCGTTTAGCCTGGTTTGTCTGGGGTTTAGACCAATGCTGCCCTTATTAATACAATGGAGACCTAAGTCTTAGGAAAACTTGGTCTTAAATATGGTGTTATGAGCTAGCTAAAAAGCAGCTTCATTTCAAACACGGAAATTTTAGTCCTCAGCATAGACTAGTGCTGCTTACTTTTTATTTGTTTTTGGCAATGGCTGAGTATTTGAAAACACTACCAAGTGTGCTTACTACTTACATTTCGTTAACCCTTTGGAATCTAGCCTCTTCTATCGTCCTGAGCAACTCCGAGCCTTCACTAGCACTGTCTGCAGAGTTAGCTTTCCAACATCTGCACCATCACTTGTGCTTAGAGTTGTTACCTTACACATCATAAGACTCCTTGAAAGTGCATTGAAAGATTTGAATTCAGCATGCAAAAATATGCATATGTGGGCACAAAGAATCATAAGCGCATTAAAAATTTTTATACAAAGCAATGGCAGACTTCACAAAGGAATTTCGGGTAGCCCCAATCTCTACATTCTTGGCCTAACCCTAAAACCTTTCCATTCTGGCAGCAGAATGCACAGAAGCATGTCTAATAATTACAGGCCTGATCCTGTGAATTACAGTGTGTCCTGAAGTGCAGGGAGCGGTGTATGTTGCATGGATACAGAAGTGGGTTCGCAGATGCATTTCAGGGTTAAGTCTAAATTAAACTCAATTGTAACTGGGTCCTCAAACTTAGCTGCAGTGTATACAGGCCCAAAGAGTCTCTCCTAAGTCAATAGGAGTTTTGCTTGAATAAAGACATCTTGGAAGTGCACCCAGCATTCCAATAGTATCACGCCTTCTAAGCAAGTAGACTGACAATAAATACTATTCTTTGCAGTGTTGTAACCATATTAGTCTCAGCATATGAGACAGACAAGGTGGGTGAGGTAATATCTTTTACTGGACCAACTTCTGTTGGTGAAATTGACAAGTGTTCGAGTTCTCCGACACTCAAAAGCGTCTCTCTTTCTCCAACAGAAGTTGATCCAATAAACACTAGTACCTCACCCACCTTGTGTGCCTCATAAATATTATTTTCTGCTTAGCGCATGCTGTCTGAACAAGGTTGGTGACTGGAACTGCGAGGAGGGTGAGGATTGTGATTTTAAAAAAGCTCTCCCCCCACCCTTCCAAATTTCAGTAACACCTTAGGGAAATTTGTTACCAGTGTGTATAGTGGATTAGTCACAAAATTACCCCTTGCTGCCAACAGGAGTTGCACATCTAAATCCTCTGCACATGGCGTTGAAGACTTTCCCCTTATCATGGGAGTTATTCACCTGCACTGATCAGATACATAAAGGAGTCTTTTTTTTCTTCCTTCAGTTTTTGTGTAAACAAATGAAAATGTAGAAACTGGCTCAGTGGCAAAGCTGTTCTGTGTGCTGCCATGAAGGGACTCCAGTTCAGAATAAGTTTCACCACCCTTGGGCAAGTGGAAGTTGGGTTTCACAGACACATCTTTAGCCTTTGCAGGGAGAGAAGACAGCAATTTCACACTGGGTAGGGACCGATTCTGCTTTTACTACTCAGGCAAAATTATCAAAATGGTTTCAGAGTTTGTCAGTAACAGCTGAAGAATTGTGCCGTTACAGATCAACTAAAACGGGCGAGTTAACAGAGCATCGGCTTCAGAGGAAGCTAGGTGTTGTACCATCATCTACCTATTCATATGGTACTGGTGAGGAAGGCACGCGTGTGTGTCTTTTGGATAGAATTAGGGGTTCAGATTCCTTCTGCTTCCATGCTGTAATCTCAAAACCTTCAGATCCTAGGCTGATCCCACAGTACCTCAGCCAGTTGTGTTTGTGTTATGGGAGGGTAACCTAGAAAGGATCTGCCCTTGGCAGAAAAAGGAGGAGGCAAAATAAAGAGGTTTTTTTTCTTTTTCGCCAGCCAGTTTGCTCTGGCTTCCAGTCACTGTAGATTCTAGTGCTCTGAAGTACAAGGGATGATTTGGAAATTTGAAATAAACACAATTTGGGTGAGGTAAACAATTAGACATAGTGTTTATTTTCAGTGTGTTCTACAACACCTACAGGAGGCTCTGATGGTCTTTGCTTGCTTTTTAAATCAACAGGTGCTCATCTTGAAAGACAAAAAATGGGGAGGGGGGACCTTAAAGCCATCTGGATGTAGGTTTAGGGGCAGATATATATTTTTTTTAATGCAAAGAGCATTCCACGTGGGGAGTGATGGAGGATATAGCCTTTAGAGGCTGATCCTGCAAACATTTACTAGCATGAGTAGTCAGTGGCTTCTGTGATCTTACTTATACTTGCATGAGTAAAGATTTGCAGCTTCCCTTTAATAATCAGGGCCGAATCCATAGAGACTTGCACCGGTTTACCTAAGGGTGTGTTTTTAAATCAATTCAGCTAAACTGGTGTCAACTCCAGAGTGGACAGTTTTATAAACCAGGTTTAAATGGATTTAAAGACTGATCACAAAGGAGTTCAACCAAACCAATTAAAAAATACAGTTTACTTAACCAGTGCAAGTTCTGTATATGTACAAGTTCCAGGGCTACACCTTTTCTACCTGCTAGGAGATTTGCCTTTTTAAAGCTGTAGTATCCCATTTGTGTACTGAATCTACCAAGTGCCAATTAATTTCAGAAGCTACAGTATTTTTGTGTATATACCATTAAAAAGCAACTCTTCTGATCCAGAGAGTATACATTTTTGCCAATTTAATAAAAATTTCTTAGTATCAGATTTCTCCATATTTCAGGATCAATTTCTAAAAATTATAGGTCAAAGCTCTGCAAGATGCTGGTAGTAATAATAAAGATTTTAAAAAACCCATTGCTCTTAATTATTTAATATAAAAAAATACATGGCGTAACAAGTAGGAAAAATATATACAAAAGTGCAATGCTGAGTAACTCTAATTAAAGATCACTTCTTTTGCACAGAGTGGAAGAGAAAATAATTTTTAAAAATATAGTTTAAAAAAAAAAAGACTGAATTGCTTCTTGAAATGTTTTTAAAATTTCAAAATTACTTTATAGTCTCCAAAGCAACATTTGGCAGGAAATAGATGAGAAACACTGAACGGAGTTTGAATTTCCCTATTGTAGGAAAACAATCATAAGGACATAGGACCTGAATCCTGCAGTCCCAATGCAAGCAAAATACTCACTGATTTTATTAGGCACTTTGCCTACATATGGTGGCAAGATTGGGCCAATTCTGACTAATACTTGGCCTTTTGTCTTACACTAAAGCCATACACAGTCTATAATATTGATATTCTCTTTCTGTGCATTAAAATGACTCCTTTATTACAGGAAAAGGTCAAAATTGTATAAGTGCTTCTTCATATTTGTGGGATGTTATGAAATTTAGTGCAATTTGACGTTGGTTAGGACAGATTTGTTTCTTAATGACATTATGGACTAGATCCAATCCATTATGGACTACCCTTTTGCCCCTTTTTATGCTGTTCTAATGGTGCAAAGGGATTAGAATGCTGCACTAACAAGCCAGCTGAGGATTCCCCTCAGCATAGGAAATCCCAGATGGGCACAGAGTCAGTGTAGCTAGCTCTGTGTCACCTCCACCAGCCCCAGTGGCCATAGCTTGCTCCATTCCCGTAATTCCCCACCAACATGAATGGACTCAGGGGCTGTTACAAACTGGCAAAATTTAGAGGAACCTCAGACTTCCTTGCATTATACCATGGGCCAAAAACTGGCTCCTGGCAGCCCCTGCAGTCAGGGGAGTACAAAGGTAGTTCAAAGCTACCCTTGATGCTCATCAAAGCCATAACAAATAGAACCCTGGCACAGCTGAGGCTGTGGTCCTACGTCTCATTTTACGTAAGATTATTTGGCTAACCACTGACCTGTCCCCACTTCTCTCTCCCCACACATGCCCCCCAAATCAAATTAACTCTTACTAGTAGAAGGATTAAAGATTAGGCCCCATTGTGCTGAACATTGTACAAACACAGATAAGAGTCAGGCCCTGTCCTAAAGAGGTTACAGTCTAAATAGCCAGGACAGACAAATGGTAAGCAACGTAGTATTGTCATCCCCACCAGCGGCAAAAAGCTATTAAGTGACTTGCCCAAAGTCACACAAGAAATCAAAATTGAGCCAAGATCTCTTAAATCCCCAGTCCAGCACCTATTCTCAAGACCATCCTTCCTCTCATAAATACTGATAGCAAAATCCTGTTTTCTAGAGTAATGGGGAAGAGACTCCACAGTTCTACTTAGCCAGCTTTTTGGCATAAGCTTGTTTTTGTTGTGTTTTTGTTTTTTTTAAAAACTTCTGGAGGAATGTGTGAACATAAGAACAGCCATACTGGGTCAGACCACAGGTCCATGTAGCCCAGTATCCTGTTTTCTGATGCCAGGTGCCCCAGGGGGAATGAACAGAACAGGCAATCATCAAGTGATCCATCCCCTGTCGCCCATTCCCAGCTTCTGGCAATCAGAGGCTAGGGACACCATCCCTGCCCATCCTGGCTAATAGCCATTGATGTCAAGTGAAAACTAAGGGCCCTCATCTTGCAACCCTTACTCTAATAGTCCCTACTTGCATGAGTAGTTCTATTGTCCTCAGTGAGGCTGTTCACATGAGTAGGAACTATTCTCTTGAGAAGAGACTGCGTGATTGGACCAAAGCCCTGTAATGTAATATAATAGTGTTTTGTAAAAACATGAATTGTGCAGCTGACAAGCAAAATATGCTGCAGTTGTGTACTGAAGATAGACACTAGTGTCGGATCTCTTGGCTCTAGAGAAAATGCCCTGTTTCATATGAACTTGAGAATGTGCAATATGTGCTTCTCTCCCTGCATCCCCAAGAAATGCTAGCACTAATTATTGCTATATTAATCTTATTTTAAAATAATAACCAGCAGTAGTTGTTTTGACTGACCTACTCTGTAGAAAGAATCATCTTAATGGTGTCCATGAAAGGCTCATTTTCATGAATTAATTTACAACAGTTACTTAAAAATGTACATGTATACAAATAAGTAATGCAGTTTAATAAATATGCAAATCACATTTGCTTTAAGGTACTTTAGAGGGGGGAAAATGACCTAAGCTAATGAATAATCTCTTCTGGCAAGTTTCTTGACTAGTATGTGATAAAAACAGTAAATACAAGTGGTGTTGATCACTGACAGAATCTTCTACTTAAAAGCGATTTGAGAATAGCACAATATTTTGGCAGCAGAAAAGAATCTGTACTCAGTTTACAGTGAGGAGGCCACAAGTATCTGGATAGAGAAGTGTTATCCAGATGTAACCAGACTAGATTAGATTGTCATGCTGCATACTGTAAGGTACAAAGTGCATAAGGTCTACTATACCAGCAGTTCTCAACCAGGGGTCTGGTGCCTCCTGGGGGGCCATGAGCAGGTTTCAGGGGGTTCACCAAGCTGGGCTGGCCTTAGACTCACTGGGGCCCAGCGCAGAAAGCCAAAGCCCTGTCGCGCAGGACTGAAGCCCGGGGCCCTGAACCTTGCCACCTGATGCCTGAGCAACTTAGCTTCGTGAGGGCCCCACTTGCCAACCCTCACACTGGCCCTGGCTTTTATGTGCTGAAAAACAGTTGTTATGGCACAGGTGGGGTGTGGAGTTTTTACAGCATATGGGGGTAGGGGAGTTCAGAAAGGAAAAGGTTGAGAGCCCCTGTATTATACCCTCTCCAAGGCGTTGGTCACCGCTCTTGCGCAAGAACAAGTAGAGATGGGCCCAAACAGAACACTTAAATCCCAGCATGCTCCAGTTCTGAGGATATTTGGATTAAGATCTTAACTTCTTGGCTCAAGCCTCCCTCAAGTAGTACCTCTGTAACTGAGTCTGCCCATTATCTTGGTTTTCTTCTAGGGGAAAGTTAATCATGTTTCTTTAAATGTGAAGCAAGGAAACATCCTGTTTAAGAAATTGCTGCTTGTCTTAATATTCAGTTAACTATGGGATTCTCAGAGTGAGGCAAATATATTAATTGGAGGATGGGAGAATTTGTCTTTCTTGCTGTTAAGGAAATGTGATACATGACGGCACTCAGTAAGACAAGGGCTATTCTCCTGCACATCCACATGAGGAGTCTGCACTTGATGATTTGAGGCTGTTACTTTGTCCACCCTGAATTCTACTTTCTCTTGGAGTGATGCTGCCACTGACTTTAGATGAAGCTGCTCACTAGGACTCCTAGATCAATTAATAGTGCCAGGCCCAGAGCTTTGTTGAGGGAGCAGAGAGACTTTGAAGCAGACAAAATGGCAATTCCCCAGCGCTTTTAAGTGGGGGTTAGATGTGGCTTTATAATAAAATATGCTCACGTGCTGATGGTGGTACCACACTTAAGGAATATTTTCAGTGTGGGAAGACAGGAGTTTCCCATGAATTACTTCAGTACTTGAATGGTTTTTGGCATAACTGGGAAAAGCTGGAAGAATACTATTTGGTAAGTGGATAGATGATTGTGTGGTGTTAGCAGCACCGCTAATATCATTTGGACCCACTAGGCAATATCGGATGCTTGAGGCCGTCATAGGGTTTTTTGTCTGGCAGGAGCTTGTGAAGACTATAAACACCATCTAAGATAAAGGCTGGCACAGTTTTTGGTAAAGTGGCAGTTCTTAGGCAGGGAGAATACTTCTCCAGTCTGGTTGGATTTCATTAGTTTTCAGGCCAGACATTTTCAGATGCATTTGTTTTTGGTCCTCAACAAAAAAGCACAAAACCTTGGTGCAACTCCTGCTCATTGAACTCATGCAGACAGTCTCTGACGCCGGTGGTGCTACTTAGGTGAGGGATTCTGTCAGCCAGGGTTTGATGGGGGTGTAGGAAAACCTGGCCATGACATCCCTCCCTTGGCTGCATCCCTTCTATATCAGGAAGCAGATGGGGGGCGGGGGAGGAGGGTTGGCACAGGAACTGCTGTGGTGGCTCTATGGCCCTCAAAGATTCCCTGGCCAGAGAGAATTCACAGGATCCAGATCCACTGGCTTTATGGTTGCTCTATACTGCAAGAGCAGCACCCAGCATCTGGCTCCAGAGCTGTTCTTTTTTTAAACAATTAACATTCCCTCCGTAACTGCTACCTGTGATTACTAAATCAGTAAAATTAGATTTTAAAAGTTTAATTTTTTACTTTCATATATTTCATTATTTAAACAGTGAAATACAGAATCAGTTTGACTTTCCAGCACTCAGTGCTGCAATGTATGAGTTGCTAGCTCTGCAGGGGATTTGTAAATCTAATTAAAACAAATAATTTAAACTGCCATTTAAAATTCTAAAACAGTTTTGTTTGGTTTAAATGGCCCTCCCCCATAACCTCTAAATTGTGGGTTTTAACCCACATGACAAAGCCCCTTTAATAAACTTAGTGAAAGCTGTGTATAACATAATACCAGAACATCTGTAAGGCTTGTCTTTTGATTTCCCCAGCTATAAGAAGCGTTTCTACCTGTGAACAATGTTCTTGCAAATGATCCTTCTGTGAGAACCTTTCTAGCACAGGGTCCTGAAGTCTGAGCAGATCACCTTGTAGGATCAGGCTCAAACTGGTATGACACAGTGTTTCAGAAATCATTTCAGAAATCGTTGTCAAAATGTACTACACCTTCAAGCTAAATAGTTGACAATTTTAAGAACTTTACAACTGAGACTATAAATATACTAAAAACCTCAAGAGACCAAACAAAATCTCTTTTCATAACATGGAATTCATGTCCGTGAAGTAGGCTTGTCTTCATGACATTGAAATGTTAATTTCAGACTAAACTATCTCTATGCTACCAAAGGCAACATTTTTCCTTTCAGAAAGACTTGATAGGCACTATTTCTAACTTCCTCCCAGGTGTTCGGGATTATTTCTTCTGCTTTGTTACAGTGTGTGTGCTGTTGGTGTATAAAGCAGCAACCCTTTTGGTTCATTCATGGAATCTGAGTTTTGTTTCACAGTTTTTAGTAAATTGATGCCAGCACTGTTACAGCTCTGAAGTTTTGCCTGTACTAACCTATTGTTATTGATGGTAAGTTAGCTTTCAAGAGCATGCTTTCGAGCACTTGTTTCTATAGTTTAGCCCTTTGTTTAGTAAGCAAGTATTGCATCGTATAAAGAAGGCTGCTGTCTGATTTCTTTCCAGTATCTTTTTAGAAACACTAAAACTTACACAGAACAACATCAATCATGATGATACAAAATAGTTGCATTTTGAAAGTTTTTAGGTGAACTGACAAATTAAGAACTATGGGCCCGATCCTTTGTTTCCTGTGCACCCAGAATTCCTATTGAAGTCAATGGGTGTGTTGAGCGCATAGGCAATGCGGAGATCAAACTGTATGTCATAATGTGAGTGACCTATATGTGTCATGTGCGTGTGCTGACAGGCTTTCTTTGAGTTTGATAGTGACAGGGCAACTTTGGAATTCCAAACAATGTCTAAAAAAAAAAAAAAGCGCCAGTTCTCTGCATGAGACTTTTCTTAGTGTAAAAGTATTCTGAATCTGTAACAAATAGCACAAAATTACAAATGGCCAGGTTGTCTTGCAATATATTTCAAAACAAGACTATATAAGAAAAAGCTGTCTCTCCTTGGTCCTGAGTCAGCAAAGCATGGAAACAAATTTAGACTTTAAGCATATGAGTAATCCCATTGGTGAGACTCTCATGTGCTTTGCATAAGTGCTTTTCTGCTACTGAAATACATCTCTTCAACCTCTAGTAAACTTTGACTGTGCCCTGCTTTGCAGATTTACTGTACCTACACTCAGAGAGAAAGATCAGTCACTATCATTAACAGTGTGTCAGCATGAGAATTACTTCAAGCTAAAAACTTTATTAAAATGTTCAGATATTTATGCACATGCATGATTTTACTCACTTGAGCGTATGTCTGCCCAGTTGGATCCCTGGTCATGATGTTAATTCTGTAAAGAGATTCTGATAAGGAGATATTACAACAGAACTAAAAAAAAAAGGGGGTCATTTCTTCATGTAGAAATTGAGAAGTTTGAGAACTGTGTGCATTTCAATACAATGCATTTTCTTCTTTGCATGCATGATCTTGAGTTTCATTTAAGCTTGTACTCTAGTAGATATGAAAAGTATCTAGTTTAAAAATATCTTGTGCACCATAAGGAAATTAGCACCTTGCAAACCATAGTACTTAGTAGTTGCAGGATAGCATGCTACAAAGTATACATTTTTGTTGTGAGCCACTTAAAGAAACAGTAACCCAGTTATAGATAATGCATGTTTAACTGGGTGATTGTACAACGACAAGACTTCATGTTTACATTACATTCTAGAAAGCTTTATACAAATATGTAGACCACCTGTTGTATCAGGTCATGTTTCAAACTCCATTCCCATAACTTTACATCAGCTAAAACTCCTTTCCTTTTACTATTTGAAGCATACACAGGCTTAAATACTCTGTGTTGGCAAGAAAAGGTCATGTTCACAAAAACACTCATTTCTGATTTTAATAATTCAAATGGCAATATAGTCCTTATTTCATTAAATAATTCTGTCCAGAAAAATAAAATAAAATACATATTAAAATTCTTAGTAATTGAAGGTTCAAACAGACCTATTTTTTTTTGCATCTACTGCCCCTTTATTTTCCCTGAGGAAATCCACATTATTTACGTCATTTCATTATTTTTCGCAAGGTATTTTTCTATAGAGAAACTTCTTAGTAACTTTGTAACTTCTGTTTATCTGAACATTACATACCAAATGCTGCACTACTATTTGCTACTGAAATAACTAATTGGCAAGGAGAACTCTTCCTTAACATGACTGGATACAGATTCAGAATCAGGGATATCTCTATCTTCTACAGTAGAGTAGTGTACAATGAAAGATAAAATTCTGACATTTCCTAGAGGGGAAACATGATGAACATTGAGAATTTACAAATGTAATTTAGGAGCTCCTTTGTAGCACTGGGTTAGATTTTAAGAATTCAGACAAAATCTTGAAATCCTGATTTATGTGAGTAGTCCCATATAATAGGAAAGCTAAATTTATTTCTACTGCTAATTTGTTTTTCATATTATAATTATTTCTTTATTTCTCTCAGGGAAACATACAATAGTCATCTCAAACTTGGATGCAAAGGTTTTATCAGAATTTTTTTTTCTTAAAATTGGTTAAGGTTAGCAAAGCAGTTCTATTGAACTGTGGCTTCTTACTGCATTTGTCTATTCCCTTATGTATTATCTGACAAGTTTATTGACAAAAACAAGTTCTTACTACTGTCAGCAATGTGGAGTAAACAAGGGTATGGATGAGTGAGCTGTATTCTTCTTCAGCCTGTGCATCATCAAAAATAGTGCCAGCTACCTTCTGACTGTAGAATCTTTCTGGATTGGTTAGAGATGATATACTGTATGAAGCAGAAAGAACAAAGCTTGATTTTCAGATAGTGAAAGAAATTGTCCTGCTGAATGTCACAGAAAAATCCTTGTATCTTGTGTATGATGGAAATTTGATAAAGAAGTCTATGTAAACAGTACTGTAGTATCAGATGGGGAATACTGGAAGCAGATTCTATCAACCACAATTCAAGACACCACTTTTTGCAACCTTAAAAGGTTTTTGAAGCACAAGGATCTTGACACCACAAGTGGCTTAATTTAGCATCTACCTTCTGCACCTAAACTGTCACCTTGACTAGTTTTCTGTTGTTTTGCTGAAGGTGGTATAAAACATTATTGTAGTGGAGATTTTGTTGTTGTGGGATTCCAGAAGGGTTTTATAACAGCTTTTAGAACAGACAGTAACTATGTACAAGATAAGTCCTGGCAGTCTAGGATTAACTCCATTAGTTTCTTCAGATTTCAGTTCCAGCAGTGCTACCTCTAGGTGAGTTCAGTGAAGTGGAAATAGAAAACAAGATGTCATTTTAGTAACCTCTTTCCAACCACCACTGTTTATAGTGAAGAGCAGTATAATTTGATTTTAGTGATGACTGCTGTGCAGTTTGGTCCAATCAAGAGTGGGGACAAGCCCTCATAACCTGTTAAGCCTTCCCAACTGGTCAGGAGACTTCTAATTTCACATCCCTCTCCCAGGCTCTTGAGCAGCTCTCTTAATGTACTCTATGGGAGAGCAATGGACCTGCAGGGAAGCCCTCTAGGTTACATCTGTACATTTAATCCACCAGAACTCCAGGCTTCTAGATCAGGGGTTCTCAAACTTCTGTACTGGTGACCCCTTTCACACACACAGCCTCTAAGTGCAACCCCCCCTTATAAATTAAAAACACGTTTTTATATATTTAACTCCATTATAAATGCTGGAGGCAAAGTGGGGTTTGGGGTGGAGGCTGACAGGTCGTGATCCCCCATGTAATAACCTTCGACCCCCTGAGGGTTCATGACCCCCAGTTTGAGAGCCCCTGCTCTGGTTACTATATGTTCCATTCTATGCATCTGATGAAGTGGGCTGTAGCCCACAAAAGCTTACGTTCTAATACATTTGTTAGCTTCTAAGGTGCCACAAGTACTTCTGTTCTTTTTGCGGATACAGACTAACCCGGCTGCTACTCTGAAACCTGCTCTAGATAGTCCCTGACCAGAACACGGGCAATGGAGATATGGCAAGAATGACACCATACTGCTATGTAGTGTGTTGCTCTCAGGGAAAACTTGGGGGTGTAATATCAGTGAGTGGGACTGGAGAAAGAAACAGGCTCAGGTTTCAGGAGGAGACCCAGTTTGGACTGATACCTGGAGCTCACATATGCAAGCTGGTAGCCAGCCTAATACTGGAAAAACACAGAGGTCTCAGCATGTAACACTGGCCTATATACATGTTCCATAAAGATCTCTGTCTTCTTGTTGTATCATTGCTTATTGCTAACAAAACAGCTGGAGGGGGAGCAGGGAACTGATTGATCACTAGACAATCAGTATTCAGATATCCCAGTTAGATGATTGCACTGCATAAAATCTCCAGCCCTCGAGTCTGACCATGTGTGAAGCCTGCTCACCTTATTCACACAGATAGACCCACTGGGCATGTTTGCACCAACTTGAATAGCAGTTGACACCTATGAAAAGCAGGTGTAAATATGCAAATCAGAATGGAAGTTTTGCTTACTTTGCATACCTGTAAAGGACTACACAAGGTGCAAGGCAGTGCAGAATCAGATCCATTGACCTGGATGGAAACGGCTGTGTGAATAAGATTATCTGAATTTTATATATTTTCCATATTTGGCATTTTATGCAGGAATAGAGACAAGCTAATCATGTTTAAAATGCTTATCTAAAATGTTTCCCTTTTGCTTGAAATTTCATTTTTCAGGCTTTTTCCCAAAAAGACATTTGTTTTGCTGTAGCAGGAAAGTCACTTCAGCAAAAATTAGGACCCAGTGGTATATCTGTCAATATAAAAGTCTGATAAGATCATGTGGTACCAACTTCTGTCACCAGCATCATTTCTACTAAGCGATTAAAAGAATTTTATATATATCCTTCAATATTTCTATTTTAAGGGTCAAGTTCTGGTTGCTAGTGGGGTGTGTGTGTGTGTGTGTGTGTACCAAAGAACCCATGGCCAACTGTGAGAATGCATGATGGAAACCGATCACCAGATTCTGACTCCTCTGAAAAATCAGGGGTCACCTGACAGACCCTCCAGAGAAGCATGACTTGGTGTGGTTAAACAGTGTAGGGAAGCAGTCCATACAGACATATGTGCCAAGCACTTTGGCCAGGCAGTGGCCGATTCATGGCATTTGTAAATAATCTTATTCTTATCAAGAACAGAATGAAAGAGTAACTCTGGCCAGAGGTGGACAATAACAATGCTTTGGTGGTCTATTTGTGTGCCTATCTTTCTAAGAATAGATATAAAGTTAGCAGTACGGGAGTGGCTATGTGAATTACGTTATGGGAATGGCTTCGCTAACGTTTATATTAAGCCTCTGAGCATGCCCAGTAGATCTTTCTACAAGCCAGAGCAGAGTGAGCGGAGTATGCATGCAATTAATAAGGTCTGTGCCTTTTCTCTAACTCACTTTCCTCCAGTATTAAAGCTGGGACAAGTGCTGTACCTGGTTCCTGGGGCCAACCAGAATTTGCCCCATGTTGTGGAAATTTGATGATCTAATTAATATGTTCATTTATGAAGTGCCCCCTGCCAAGGTGCTCATGATGGTGTACAACATTTTACAAACCAATTACAATAATATATTTTAAAATCCGCTTTAAAATTCAAGAGATCTGAGTAAATAAGGGAGAAGGGGAATACAAAGAAAAGGGAACAATGATGAGGATAAGTAATGAATATGGGGTCAACAGTGGTCAATATTGTTTTATAAGCCTCTTGAGAGGCTTTTAGAAATAAGGAGGGATATCAGTGGAGCAAGCTCCACATTCTGTGTCCCACCATAGTAAAGGCACTGACAACAATGTCAGCATTTAAAAGGAAGTAACTAGAAACCAGTTACAAATTGCTAAGAGGTATTTCCCTAAATAAATCTTTGGGGGAAAAAAAAAAAGAAAAATCACAGAAGGAAAAGCCATGACCTATGACTTCACCAAAAGATAAGGAAGTGCAAACAATAGAGTGCAGATGGCGCTGTATATCTGCCAATCTTTACCTTCTGTTAATTTATTTCATGTTTTGTTTTATTATCCTTGCTGGATTTTAGGGTCTAATTTTTCTAAACAAGTTAGGTGCACAACTGTGCATAAAAATCAGGTAACTGTATGCACGCAAGTGACTTTCACTAGCCATTTGTGCATGAAAATTGCGTGATTTGTAAACACTGTTGCAGAAATAACATGCTCAAATTAGGCATGCAACACAGCAAATTTGTTTAAAAAAACAGGCTCTTATTATTCTTTTGTTCTTTCCATTCAAACACGTATTGCCTTTTCTTTAACACTACGCGCTATACTATGTTCAAACGTGTGTGCTTTTGTTCTTTAAATGGGCATAGGCAGCAATGCAAGTTAAGTAATGCTGTCATGAGAGTTATGTGATCCAGTTTATCAGACTCCATGAAAAACAAGCCCAGCTGGTAGTGGGTCTGTATAGCCCTGTTAATATGATAGGTGCCTATACCTATGGGGTTTTTTTGTTGTTTTTCTTTTTAAACAGGCAGGAGTTGGTGATGCGCATTCATGTGGCATTTCCGCCTTACTTTATACATCAGTAGTTATTTTAGTATGAAAATAAATAACTCCATCTATCTAGGGATGAAACATCAGCATTCTACATTTATACCCTCTAACAGACTGAAGAACTAAATACACCAAAGCCCACACATCCATCAAAGTGCCGTCTGCATGGAAGTTGACTATTTCTGACCTCAGTGACTTTTTTTTTCCTAAATAAAAAAGGACTTCACTTAACATATACATATGTTGCTCCACTGCTGTCACACTCCACTTGCTGGGATGATGCGGTGGGAGCACTTCTTGGGGGGTTTTGTTTTCTATACATTTTTTTGCACAAATAAAATTTGGCATTGCTAATGGAAAGAATGAGTGAGCCATTAATTTAGTAACCATCTTATATACACAAGAGAAAAGAAAGCAAGAGCTGAACTGCTGGGTTGGCTCACATCCCTGAATAGATATTACATAGAATCCAAAAGGCTGCATTTACCAGTTCTTAATAGGGTTCATCAGCATAAGATGGTCATTGCTAGGAAAAGGGACTGGTGATAAGAAAAGATACTGGAACCCAAATTATATTCCTGTATGTTTCAATGATCATTGAAACGGTTTCCCTCAAATCTTGGACTTACTTGTGGCTGAGATCTGCTGGTGTTTCCTTTTTTCATTTTTTCCTTCTCTGGAGTATTACAATCTAATTTAAAATGTACCGCCACTCTTGTTCTGGTTTGTGACTGCTTTTAAAAAATCATCCAGGAGTGCTGTTGCTTGTCCTTCTGACATATCAAGATTTGAATTCCTCAAAAAAACACCCGAAAATGAGGAATCCAACCAAGATTATTCACATCAGCAGAATTATTTAACAGACTCCACTCTTGGTACAGCTGCTGTTGAGTGAACTGTAGCTTATGTCTTAAAGTGTGAATTTAAGCTTTTAAAAAGAAATCTTCACTTCAGGGCAAGACGCGGTGCTTTGTTCAACTGATACAGACGTTCACAGCATAGACATTGACACGGTTAAAGAACAGTCACGGGGAGCAAGTAGTTCACAGAAGTTAGCAACAAGTTATTTAAGAAAAACATTAATAGCTGCTCTGGGTTCAATATTTGATAAGACTTTTTTTTTGCTCTATTGCTCCACACTGGTTTTGCTAAGTGCTTCTCCTTGGCTACAAGTGCTTTATTTTGAAATACAAGTCTGTTTAAAAGGCAGCACTGGAGGGTAGGCAGGGGCAGCTCCAGGAACAGGATCCTGCTATTGTACTCCCCATCCCCCGGGTCCTCCACACTTCCAGTCTTTAGTCGATGAACCTTTGGCAGGCTTTCTTCCAACGGCAGGCAGTGCACCACATATCTCGGTTCTCCATCCCATACACTTTTCGGCATTTTTTCCCCTCCCCTCTAGGTTTCCTGTCCAAGAAAAAGGGACACGTAGTTAATAAGAAGTTTTTTAGCATCCCTCATCACCACACACTTTTTGAAAGAGACAAAATCATCTAAATGCAGCATGACGTTGAAAGAGCCTGATATTTTCAATGGGTTTCTTCCTATTTTCAAGTTACCAGGATTCTGCTGAAGTAGTCAGACTTGGAGTGAGGTGAAACCTGCTATTGAGTGACACACCCCGACCCCTCCCCCCTCTGCTGTAGTCTTTAGAGCAGAGGTGGGCAAACTATGGCCCGCGGGACCCTCCTGCCAGGCCCCTGAGCTCCTGGCCCGGGAGGCTCGCCCCATCCCCCGCAGCCTCAGCTCACTGCACTGCCGGCGCAATGCTCTGGGTGGTGGGGCTGCGAGCTCTTTCTGGGGGCAGCACAGCTGCAGAGTCTGGCCTGACCCAGTGCTCTGTGGTGTGCGGTGGCGTGGCTGACTCCAGCCAGGCGGTGCAGTTGCCTGTCCTGGTGCTCTGGGCAGTGTGGCTGTATTGCTGCCAGCCACCAGCGCTCCAGGCAGCACAGTAAAGGAGTGGGGGGAAGGGTTAGAGAGTAGCCCCTGGGTTAGAGAGTAGCTGGTGGGTTTGCTCTGCAGTGTTGCTTCAAGTAGGCCTCTAGCCCACCCAATCCTTTGTAAGGTGTGTGAGGGGACTAGACAATCTGCCCTCTTCTCCCTTCTCATTCGTAATAAACTCGATTAGAAAATGCTCCTCTGGTTCCACTGATGTATCTTTAAGAGAATCCCAGAAATTAGCAACCAGAAAGACTTATTAGATCTCGTTGTCCACCTCTGCCGATCCAGGACTAGTCCCTATAATACATATAGCCCTGGAGTCAGATATACAACAGAGTGTCATGCAGTAATAGAAAATCACAGCTATTACTGCAGTGCTGTGTGGAGTACAGCAGGCAAGAGGTTTGCTTGGTTTAGGTTTGCAGTATAAAAATTTTGTACAGCTGTAGGCAGGCCTTGGTATTCTATGATAGTTGTCCCATATGGAAGCTATTCCATTTAGGGGAAAAGCCACTAAATTCAGAAGACAATCTACATGCTCGTACCTAGCCCTGGATTTACTTTGACTCTCACTGTAAACAGATTGGTACCGTATTCTGCATGACAGAAGATAGCGAATGTTGGTTTTGTTTTAATGGTAGCTCTCTGTAAGTCACTTGATATTCCAAAGCTAGCACTGCACAAGGATTCTTTGTTCGAGATATTTGACTACAAACCCTAAAGCACAAGCTACAATGTGGAATAAGTGTCAGGGTAAGCTTAAAGTAACTGTTAAAATGGCACCTTCCCATTCAACATATTTGCATCCTGTGGGCCAAATTTAGCCCTAGTGTAAGCAGGTGCAACCCTAAAATAGCTGCACCATTACACAAGTACCAGATTTGTCCCTGTGTATCTTTGAGTCATATCTGCTTATGTTACAGACAAAATGAAGTTTAATACTGTAAACACTGCAGAACACCTAGGGGAGAACTACCTGGATTCTGCTCTGCCTCCTGCATCAGCAATACGAGTCGCAGCAACATTTTGATCACTGAAAATTCACTGCTGGGAATAGCACACAAACCAGGAAGAACCCAGCTTGACTGCCAGATCCTAGGCTAAGTTTTAGAAAAATAATGTTTGTCTAGTAAACAGAACAGATTTGATTGGGAAGACCTGAAAAAACGATAAGCATGGTATCTCCTTTAATGTCATTTTACATTTCTTCAGAGTACCATCAAATGTAAGGTTATTAAGGATTAACATGTGTCTCTTGTAATGTTAGAAATTTAGATCCAACATGGGATTTTGAACATAAAAAGCAAAAACAGTGTCATGAATTTATGTGGTGCCTGATTCAATATCCGTTGACTTGAGGTGGATCATGTCCACAGCCAAGAGCAAAGTGCTAGGTTTCTTAGTGAAACCAAAAATATCTTGACCTAAATGATCTGTTGTAAGATACATTTTCCATGGCTACATGAATTAAGTAAAAATGCTGCATGAATGCTGATGGGCATGAAGATATCCCTGGATCCAAGGGAATATGCAAGGCAGTGTAGTGAAGTTTAGAGATGTTCCAAACTAGAACAGTGGATCCAAACACCCTTGAATATTAGTGAAATTCAGGTCTGACTTGGAACTTCACGGCTCAGATTCATCTGGGGTATTGCCTAATAGCATGTCTTTAGAAACTCTCAGTGATTCAATTCCCCCAAAACCTTTACTTTCTGTAATAATGAGAGAGAGAAAAATGGTGTGTCTATTGCGGTTGTGTTCTATTGACTCTGTTTGGCTCCCTCCAAATATTGAACCTATTGCTCTGTCAATAGGAGCTAATGGTCTCATACCTTAAGCCAAATGACACTCTGGGCGGTGATGAGAGAACTGTGTGGGTCTGTTGTTTCGGCTCTCCAGTCCCTGCAGGACGATTATGAGTTGGTGAGACCTGGCAACACACACAAAAATGTAGTTAATAAAGCACACATGTATGTACATACAATATAAACACATTCTTTGGCACTGCAGCTGCATGTCCACCACTGGCTGTTTCCTAGGAAATCCCAGTTCCTGGTGTGTGGTGGGAAAGATAGTCAAGTAAGGTGAGTATGTGACATCTAACCCTCCACAAGTTAGGGGGTCTGTTCTGAAAAGTGGCCTCATAGCTTTATCTGCACATGATGAACTTCCTTCCCTCTTCCAGTGACCCTCCAGCAGCATGAATAGAACCAACTAGAACACAGAGCAACATGATTGTGTATTTTGGGAAATAAAGAAAATGGATGATTCTGAGTTTTTCTTGTTAAGAACCCTAAATAGTTCTCACTCTTTGAGATAGTTAATGAACAGTGAATGCTCATGATGAATAGTTAACGACTTGTCATTTGATCAGGGAAAAGTACGATTAACTCAGGGGTGGGGATGTAGCCTGGCTAAGATTAAAAACCAGTAACCTCCACTGCAATCAAGGCGTTTCACTTATTACTCCAGGGTGTGGTTTACACACCTGCATCCCTGGGGCAGCTGCATCAAAGGGGGATTCCCCCTGGAGGGAGAACTGTAAGTGTGACCAGAGCTTTCCCCTGGCGATTCTGCCAGGGATGTCCATTCTAGTTTATGGCTCCCTAGGATCCCTGCTGGCAGAGGCTGCCAAGGAGATATACTAAATCATCGTATTTCCCATGCCCTCAAAACCTTCTTAGGAGTCTTTTCCTATCTTTGGGTGGCTCTGGGCCCCTGGCAGAGCAGGGTGGTAGATGGCTTTTGCCCATGCACCCCCTTTTGAGTAAACTTACTACAAGGGTCTGGCCACGGGCAACTCAAATCAACTCAATGCCAACTTTGGTGGCCCTAAACCTTTCCTGTGAACTCTGACCTCTCAGGAGGTGATTCCACTCCTGTGTGGTGGAGATCAACACAAGAACCAACTACAAGAACCCTAGGAAGAGGAGTTAAATGTCCATGATATATCTGAATGCTCATTTTGGTGTACACAGAGAAATGCGTTTTCCTTAAGATGTTTCTGGATATGGAGATTTCTGTGCCCTTGAGTATAGATTCCAACAAATTGTTGCAGATCGTGCAAGTAACAGTCCTTTGTAAATTATCATTTTCCACTGCTGCCTTTTGAAATTCTCATACCATCCATTTTGAAGAATTAGAATGGACCTGACCCAGACAGGGAAACTAAATATTTTTTGTTAATGCCATTGCTAAAAACACGTAGAGAATTTTTGTAATGCTGTTGGCATATGATTGATACGGCTTCTACATTCCCGCTTAGTTGTTGAGCAGAAAGCTCTTATCTAACTGCAGGCACAGCAGAGAACAGTTTAGTGAAGGAAAACTCTGGTTTACAGTAATATAATGACTAATCATTTAATTGAATTACTTCTGACAAGATTCTGATCTCAGTTACACTGGTGGAAATCAGGAATGGCTCCAACCAGTTAGTGGTGTGGCTCATACTAAACATGGCATGTGACCATGTGCAGTATGGTAAATACTTGATTGGAAACTGTGCCTGCTAACCATGTTTGTCCTTTCTGGAGTCCTAAGCTGGCACATGGCTGCCATTCTGTAACCAATTTGTTAAACTGTTGTTGTGCCATGTGGATGGGATCCCTTAATTGTGCTTGAACAACTGGCTTGGTCAGTCCATCTTCCTCCCAGCTTGCTGTGTGGCAGGACACGCAGAGTGCATTGCCCATGTCCTGCTGGTGATGGTTTGTTTGCATGTCCTGCTAAGGTATTAAGGGTAGTGGCTCAGACTTTACCAGAATGATCTGATACACACAGGCAGGCTGGAAGGTGTAGATACAGTCTCGGCTAACAAATGGTTGCATGGAGGGTGGGGTGATGAATCCTACTGAAACAACTGCTTCCCCCAACTGTGGTGTTATAAATGGATCAGAGGAGACTACTGATGTTTGGTTACAAAAACACTGTTTTACTGGTGTGGACAGGTAGCTGAAGTCTGTAGTCTATTTTTGTGCAGTGGTTTGGGCAATTGTTGGCACCATGCTGAAATGTTCCAGTATGCTTCTATTGAATTGTAGCATACACTGAAGGCCAGATATTCCACTGTGTCCAGTTTATGCTGGGTGCAGCAATGATGCAGCTGTCAGGGAGAGGATTATAGCCCCCTGCTTCTCTGTCCCAGCCTTGATGCAGTTTGGCAGTGACGCTAAACACCACCAGCTGTCTATGATCCTCTTGTTGGGGATTGCCACAGCACTGTGTTCCAGTCCCAAAATGCCCCCTATGTTGGCAGCAGTAAGGAGGGAGGCAACAGAACTGGTTCCTCTCCTTTGGGGGATGCCCCTCCCGATAAGTATTCGGAGCAGGGGACTTAGCGATCTCCACTCTGATTTTCTGTAAGTACAATTCCCAGTAGAATCAGGAACTGAATCTAACTCTGAAATCCCATACTCACAGATCTCTGGTTCCACCCTTCTGAGTCTCTTAATGGCTGCCATGATTTATCTTCTTGGCACACAGCAGAGATGCACATGTGACGCTGGCAGTCCAAGTGGCCAATTCCTGCCAAGGCCCCTGGGTCTCAATGAACACTGACAAATGCATAGCTGGAAACCAGTCTGGCTCAGCGGTGTGTAAGTATTGTTAAAATAGATATTAACATTATAATAATGTGTTTAGATTTGATGAAATGCTTGTAGGAGGCTGCAAGTATTAATCTCATTTATAATATCTGTATCTCCATGTTATAAGGTAATGTTTAAGCGTTTGCTCTGTAACTATAAAAGTGTTTGCTAAAACTGTGAAACCCCACAGTCAGTAGAGAAGCATTATGAAGTGTGAAATGCTAGTTTGTCATGAGGTGTCATCTTCTCCCCAACTAAAGAAGGCCTTTAGACACCAGACAAGCCATTGTGGAACATCAGTGCCCACAAACTTTGTTGACTGCTTCCCCAATACCCATGAAGAGGGTGTGTGAACAAGCCCTCATCCTATCACAGCTTGAACGCTGGGGGAAGGCATAAAAAGCCCTATCAAGGAAGAATTGTTGTCACTGTGCTGCTTGGAATTCAGAGGGCAATATATTAGCCAGGGATCCCCAAGCGGCTTGGCTTAGGTTAGCCCTAAAGAAACTCTAGAACTTGCATATTATAGCAGCTACTATTACCTTTTGGAAACTAAAACTGTATCTCATTTGTGTGTGTGTATGTTTACCGGCTTTAACTTTGTAAGTAACTCATTTCTTTTTCTTAGTTAATAAATCTTTAGTTCATATTATAGGGTTGGCTACGAGCATGGTCTTTGGTTTGAGATCTGAGGTACAACTGACCTGGGGTGACTGGTCCTTTGGGACTGGGAGTAACCTGAATATTATTGTGATTTTTGGTGTAAGTGACCATCTATCACAAAGGGAGGCTTGGCTAGGTAGCAAGATAGACAGGATTGCCCAAAGGGACTGTCTGTGACTCCATGGTAAGGCTGTTATCAAGCTTTAGGAGTTCACACTTGGTTGGTGAAATCTAATTATTAGGGCTGTCGATTAATCGTTAACTCAAAAATTGACTTATTAAAAAAATTGATCGTGATTAATCACAGTTTTAATCATACTGTTAAACAATAGAATAGTTAAACTATTGAAATTAAATTTCTACATTTTCAAATATATTGATTTCAATTACAACACAGAATACAAAGTGTACAATGCTCACTTTATATTTTTTATTACAAATATTGGCACTGTAAAATGATAAAAGCAATAGTTGCACTTTCATGATAACGAGATTGCGCTACAGTACCTGTATGAGGAGAATTGAAATTACTTTCAAATCTAGAGGGTTTTTTTTTGTTATGTAACTGCACTCAAAAACAAAACAATACAAAACTTTAGAGCCAACAAGTCCACTCAGTCCTACTTCTTGTTCAACCAATCATTAAGACAAACAAGTTTGTTTACATTTGCGGGAGATAACGCTACTGCTTCTTGTTTCCAATGTCACCTGAAAGTGAGAACAGGCATTCGCATGGCACTTTTGTAACTGGCATTGCAAGGTATTTACATGCCGGATATGCTAAATATTCGTATGCTCCTTCATGCTTTGGCTACCATTCCAGAGGACGTGCTTCCATGCTGATGACACTCGTTAAAAAAATGTGTGTGTTAATTAAATTTGTGACTGACCTCCTTGGGGGAGAATTGTATGTGTCCTGCTCTGTTTTACCTGCATTCTGCCTTATATTTCATGTTATAGCAGTCTCGGATGATGACCCAGCACATATTGTTCATTTTAAGAACACTTTCATTGCAGATTTGACAAAATGCAAAGAAGGTATCATTGTGAGATTTTCTAAAGATAACTACAGCACTCAACCCAAGATTTAAGAATCTGAAGTGCCTTCCACAATCTGAGAGGGACAAGGTGTGGAACATGCTTTCAAAAGTCTTAAAAGAGCAACAACTCTGATGTGGAAACTACAGAACCAAAACCACCAAAAATGAAAAGCAACTTTCTGCTGGTGGCATCTGACTCACATGATGAAAGTGAATGTGCATTGGTCTGCACTGTTTTGGATTGTTATCGAGCAGAACCCATAATCAGCACGGATGCGTGTCCTCTGGAAAGGTGGTTGAAGCATGAAGGGACATATGAATCTTTAGCATATCTGGCACGTAAATATCTTGCAACGTCAGCTACAACAGTGCCTTGCAAACGCCTGTTCTCACTTTCAGGTAACATTGTAAACAAGAAGTGGGCAGCATTATCTCCTGCAAATGTAAACGAACTTGTTTGCTTGAGCAATTGGCTGAACAAGAAGTAGGACTGAGCAGACTTGTAGGCTCTACAGTTTTACATTGTTTTATTTGTGAAGGCAATTATTTTTTTTACATAATTCTACATTTGTAAGTTCAACTTTCATGATAAAGAGATTGCACTACAGTACTTGTATGAGGTGAATTGAAATACTATTTCT